TACATTTTGGTTGTCATAAATAGGGCAGATGCTACTGGCATCTAGTAAATAGAGACCAGGGATGCTGCTAAACACCCTAAAATGTACACAGTAGCCCTCCGCTCATGAACGAAGAATTATTGACCCAAAAAGTCAATTACGTTGCTTTTAGAAACTCTGGGCCAGATAAACTCTTAACAATTTTATAGTTTATAAATACATTGTAGTTTATTTATCTTAGGCTAACTTACTTTGGAAAATTAAAAAGAAGTCTTAGCTGGGTGGGCCCAGCGGCATAGTGGTTAAGTTCACCCACTCCACTTTGGTGGCCCAGGGTTATGGGTTTGGATCCTGGGCGTGGACCTACACAGTGCTCTCAAGCCATGCTGTGGCAGCATCCCACATACAAAAAAATAGAGGAATATTGGCACAGATGTTAGCTCAGGAACAATCTTCCTCCCAAAAAGTCTGTGCTTTAATAGATCCCTATTAAGAAGCAGATGGGCTTCCTCATGCAGCCTAATGTCCATTAACACAATGGATGGATGACTAGAAGACATCAGCTCATTCTATGATACTCTCGTCAATGTCTTTTAACAGGAGAATACATTAAAATTAAAAGAACAATTCAAAATAACCTGCAAACTTCAGAAATTACTAAAAAAATAAGAACAAATGAATGGCATTGTACCTTGTACTCTGGCAAAGTCTTCACAGTAAGGCAAATGTTTTAACTTGATGAGAAGCGACTAAATTGAACACTGAGTTTGCTTTTTTGCTCTCTAGCAACATCTCAGAATATTTGGAATGCTTCACTGATATTTAAAAATGGCCCAGTTTCTTCTAGGGATTCAAACCCTGACTGTTGCCTTAAAATCAAATAGTAATATAATGGTGATAAAATAATGAACAATGATATGCCATTGCATTGTAACGAGGCTTTACATATATTCTAGGATATTTATACATATTCGATTATCTAATTCTCTAATACATGTACTAGTAGCTTTATGTATATTAGTTCATTTACTCCTCAAAACAACCTATTTCCATTGGCAATATCTTATCATCTCCATTCACAAGGTTACAGCCAGTATAAACTAATCCAGTCATTTATATTTTCATAATTACTACAAAATACACAATATTACATATTCACATGTATGCAATTTATTTCTTCAACTTTGTCAAGATAAAACAAAAAGAAAGTGGAGATTGAAGGACGAAAAGCAACCACAGAAAATGTTTGATAATTTAATCATCAAAATTGATTCCAGAGGGCCAGCATGGTGGTATAGTGGTTAAGTTTGCGCACTCTGCTTCGGTGGCCCAGGGTTCTCAGGTTCGGATCCCGGGCACGGACATACGTAGCACTTATCAAGCCATGCTGTGGCAGGCATCTCACATGTAAAGTAGAGGAAGATGGGCACAGATGTTAGCCCAGGGCCAATCTTCCTCAGCAAAAAGAGGAGGATTGCCAACAGATGTTAGCTCTGGGCTAATCTTCCTCACCAAAAAAAACAAAAAAAAAAAAATTGATTACAGAGAAAGCAGTGCTTATACTTCAATTGCTTTGCAGTGTCAATTTACAGAATAAGATGATCAGAGCAATTGTTCACTTCTTCTTGAAGATAGAGCCTCAAAGATTATGTCAATACCATATGTGAAATATAGTTAATAATGTATAGGGTATATAATCTTGATGATGGTTACAGACTTGTTTGATTTTCACATGCACCCACTGTGAATGGAAGAGTAGAGAATCTCTTATAGCAATCAGTCTAGCCCAAAGAGAAACAATGTGTTATAACTTCACTCTCTCCTAATATCAACAAGACTATTGCTGTGTGCCTTCTGATTTCCTGAGAACTGGTGAAACCACCATCACCCATCATGAGTAATATCAAATTTCCCTGATTATAAATGGTCTGTAAGTGCAGAATGTAGACTTACTTTGCCAAACATGAAAAGCTACATTTACTCTTTCATCCATCCATTCCATTCGTTTATCCATTAAACACACATGTAATGAGGATATGCCATATACCAGGTATTATATGGGTATTGGAAAAATAAACCAAGATACATATTCTCTGCTGCCAAGGAGCTTCCAATATGGGTGGGCTGACAGACAAGTCAAAATATACCTTCAATATAACATGATAAAAAAAATATAAGATATCAATGTACAAAGTATTTTGAGAACATTAATTGGAGAGCAATTATTATTATTTATTTTAACTCAGGAATGTTTCACAGAGCAGGAGAATTTTGAAAAGAACATTTCTGTGAGAGAGGAAAAAAGGATTTTACAGTATTGAAGATGAAAAGTTATTTTTATTTCTGGAAAATGGTGATATCTTTAAAATACTTGACATATAAGGTGTTCATGGCATAGTGATAATGATGAGATTGGAAGGACAGGCTATGCCTTGAATATCCTTAAATGATTTAAATTCTTTTTCATTTGAAAGTCCAGTTTCTTTCTAATAGCCTTATTTATTTGTTTATTTATTTATTTTTTGCGAGGAAGCTCGGCCCTGAGCTAACATCCATTGCCAATCTTTCCCTTTTTGCTGAGGAAGATTAGATTAGCCCTGAGCTAACATCTGTGCCCATCTTCCTCTATCTTGTACATGGGATGCCACCACAGCATGGCTTGATGAGCGGTGCGTCAGTCCACACCAGGGATCCGAACCTGCGAAACGCGGGCCTCTGAAGCAGAGCACAGCAACTTAACCCCTAGGCTGCTGGGCTCGCCCCTCTAATAGCTTTTTGAGGGCATTTTTTACATCCTTGTTTCTGAAGCTGTAGATTATTGGGTTAAACATGGGAAAGACAACAGTATAAAACACTGCAACTACCTTATCAGTGTCTAGGGAATAGCTGGTGGTGGAACATAAGTACATAATCAGGAGAGTTCCATAGAACAAGGTGACGGCTATGAGATGGGAAGCACAGGTGAAGAAAGTTTTGCTTCTACCACCTGAGGACTTTATGCTCAAAACAGTGATGAGGATACAGAAGTAAGAGATAAATATGACCACGAAAGTGCTGGTTTGGATGAAGCCACACAAGGCAGAGCAGAAGCTCTTTGAAATGGGTATCAGCGCATGATAAAGCCAGGAAAGGTGGGATATCACAGAAAAAATGGTTGATGATATTGGAGCCGCAAAATGGCAGCCTGAATGCGAGGCAGACATGTACCATCGAAGTCAGACTTCCACTGAAGTATGCCAACACAATGAAGCAGATACAGATTCTCCTAGACAAAAGTGTAGGATAGAGCAGTGGGTTACAGACGGCTGCATAGCGGTCATATGCCATTGCTGCCAGGATAAGGCACTCAGCATCAGCATCAGCAAAACAACCAAAGAAAAACATTTGTAGTGCACAGCCATAGGGAGAGATGCTTTTCCTGGATGCTAAGAAATTCACCAGCATTTTAGGAGCAATTGCTGTAGCATAGCTGATGTCTAAGAAAGACAAGTTGCTGAGAAAGTAGTACATGGGGGTTTGAAGGCTTGGACTGATGTTAACTAGGATTATTAAACCTATATTTCCCACCACAGTTAGTGTATATACTATGAGAAATACCAAGAATAGTGTGGCTCTGAGAGGGAGATAATCTGTGAATCCAGCAAGTAGGAACTCAGTTGGCATGGTATAACTTCTCTCCAGCATCTTGGTTTTCTTGTTTTTCTCATCCGAAAGAGATGGTATCAGAAGATGTGAGTTGACTTGAGTGATCAATAAACCAATATCTTTATTCTCCCTTCTAAGGAAGTAAAGAGAAGGATAATAAAATCAGTTATTGCGTTTTCTGTGACGTATTTGTTTTTTTTTTTCTTTTTTGTCTTTTTCTTTAATAGAGGTAATTAAAAAATCTTTATTGATACCAGAGGATGTAATTCAGAAGTGGTGTTTTGAGATGCAGTAACTCCTTAAAAGATGTGCACATTAAGAAATGATATTAGTTCCATTCAAGCTGAAAGGGGATGAATGTGGCTCAGTTGATAAGACCCAGTAGAATAATGAGAATAGATAAAATCTTTAAAGGCAAAGCTCTATGTGTCAACCCTAAAATCACATTCTTCCGTGTGAAGGAAAATAAAAAGTTGAGAAAAATTCTAAGGAAAAAAGTGCCTGAAGGTAAACCAGATAATTCCACAGAAGAATATCTGTGATCTTGGAAGGTAGTTTACCATAACAGTTAAAGCACAGTAGTTATGTAAGCGATGACTGGGTTCAAATCTTACCACATTACTTAACTGTTTGTGTGACCTTCATAAAGTTATTTAACCAGTTTTTGATGGATAGAGGAATAAACGAGTAGATATTTGTAAAACATTTATGTAAGTGGTACATAATAAACACTAACATGAGTATTTATTTAATACTATTTGTTAAAGCAAATAAATAGAACTTTTTATTTCTTTTTAATTGCTTATTTAATAGCTTGAAATACCCAGATAGTTGTCTCAAAATTCATCTTATCTGTGGCGTCACGGATACATGATATGTGCTCTCTTATAAAGAAAAGCCATTGTGTGTGTGTTATTTGTATGTGTTCTATGCAAATGCATTGTCTGAGACCTGGGCTCTAATTCTGGTTCTACTACTACAAATCATGTCATCTTTATGTCTTCACATCCTCGTTCATAAGTCAGACCTCTTCTCTTTATTACGTAGACTGTCATCTAAGGCAAATGAGACTGCGCATATTCAAGAGCTTCATAATTCCTTAGTTAATTTGTATATTTGTTTAGAGATTATTAATAGAGATTGTTAAAATCAGGCAAGTTCATCAAAACGTGCTTTAGTTTCTCACTGGAAACAACAAACGAACAGACATGAAAATTAAAAACTACACAAACTCTCACCAAACAGACATGAAGTATAGCCACCATCACCACGACAACAAAGGGAAACTGTAATTTTCTTTTCCTCGAACAGTTTTCATTTGGGTTTTCTATGAACTACAGCCCTGGTATCTTCTGCTCTAGTACCTAGTTGTCTGCATTAATGAGAATGACGATGATGATGAAAGCAATCAATAATAGTTAAAATCATGGAGAGTGGGCCAAGATATTTTCTAAGCACTTGACATGCATCATTTTGTTTAATCTTCATATTATCCTATGAGATGGATATTATTATTTCTGTCTTTACAGATGATAAAACTGAAGCTTAGAGATGTAGATAAATTGCTCAAGTATATATAGACAGATTCCAGTTCTCACTCCTTAACCAAAATACTATGTTGCCTCTAATGTTGAACTATTTCCTACTGCTGAAGGAATTTTACGATATATTGTTTAAATAGAGAATGTTGGTTCTGAAAGAACCTCAGGAATTGTCTAATCCACACCCTTACCTTTCAGATAGAGTGACTAAGTCACA